CTATTAAAAAGAAAGCTAATGCTAACCCCAAATCTGTATAATAATAATATATTGTTCCTTCCCAGTCGTCTGCCTCTTACAATACTCACATGCTTTATGTGTGATTGCTTTATGTGTGATTCTTTAAAGGGCTTGTATTTGATTTAAACTTTCTTAAGCACCTGGTTTTCAAAGGGTTTTCAAAAGCTCCATTACTCTGGGGGAAAAAATAATCCTGCTCTTGTTTGCTTGGTTTTGTGTTTCTTGGCTTGCTTACAAAACGGGCTTCAGGAATCAGAGCTGGATTCTGCAGGATGTTGAACATCCTCTAGCCCTGCAGCACCACTTGGGATCAGGTCCATAATTCATTCTTTCCTGTATCAACTGCTGACTGAGTGGCACGGGCGAGCAGGATAGTGTAGGATCGCTGTCCGTTCAGAATACGGGGAACTCTGACACACCCACTTTCTCCACTGCCCTATAGTAATGAAAATGTAACCCTTCTGCCTGTCAGAATTGGCAGCAACAAGAGCCGGGTTCGCTATCTAGGGGTTCCATTCCAATAACACAATGCAAAACCGGCTCAAGCCCCAACCCAGTGACCTGGGACAAGTATATACCACCCCCGCTGGGCGCCTCCAAGGGGCAATACTTCCCCTCTCGCAAGCACATAGTCTGAGTGTAGCAAAAAGCCTTTTAATAACAGAGAGGAACAATGTGGCATTATGTTGGGGAAACACCACCAACAGGATTCATAACACAACCCATGAGCAAAAAACCCACCCCAAGCAAACTGGGGCGTGTCCTTTCCCTTTGGTTCTTGAGTCCAGCAACCCAGAATCACCCAAAGTTCCAAAAGTCCAACGACCCAAAAGTCTCTGTTCCTGGTCAGGGAAGCCCCAGAGTTCAAAAGTTTATCTGCAGAGCTTTACCTCCCAACCTGGGTGGAGATTGGGGGGGGGAGGGTTAAGGGGCACCTTACGTGGTCCAAAGCTGATGGCCCCACCTCTCCATGGAGCTCCGCTCTGCCAGCTGCCCCATGAGCTACTCTAGGCATCTGACAAACTGCTCTGCTCCACAAGCCGCTCTGCTCGCCGTCCCGCAAACTGCAATGCTCTGCCAGCCATCCTGCAAACTGCTCTGCTCCTCAAGCCGCTCCGCTCGCCGTCCCGCAAACTGCTCCACCATATATCTTCAGGCTCCTCCACTACTTAACACAATGCTCTGTGATTTCAGCTCTTAGTAAGTTTAGCTCTTTTGTGATTTCAGCTTGTAGTAGGGGAGCCTCAGTGCTGGTGCACCATTAGCCCAAAGTGAATTCAGCTCAGCAGCCTGTAACTAGACTCCTAATGGAATCAAAATTAGCTCTGATAGTCCACAGTGGAGAGAAGGAAGTGCAATTAACATGTAAGGCCCTCACCAGGGGGCCTATACCACCAAGTATTAATACCTATCCCTAGCCTACCTCTCTCTCTCAATTCACAGAGTTTTGGAACCCAAGTCCTTTGCCTAGCGAGTGCTACTTAGTTGATGGCCAGTCCCTCCATCATAACAAAAGGCCAAGTACAGTTCCACTGTCCTTGATTCCCATAATCGGGGTAATAACAATTTATTCTTCCTGCCCCGATAACAGGGGGATCCCACAGCAGCCAAAGTGACCATTTGGGCAACTATGGCCTCATTCTAGGCAGGGTGGGTGTGCCTATGCAAATGAGATCAGCCCCTGAAGTTCTTTTCCACAACTTCAGTTGCCACACCTCACCACCAGATGTCAGGGTGGAGCTCATCCTGACTCTGCTTACATATAGGATCCCAAAACTCGCTGTTACCTTGCAGCCTGTTTCAAGACACTGGTCTGATGCAAGTGAAGTTAAAACCAACAGGCATGCCACCACCATAAACTGACGTCCCCAAGCTCACTGCAGCTGGTTCTGAGTACTTGCATCATTTGATGCATGCATCCAACCATGATTATTGTTTATATTCCAGCAGTGCCTAGGTGCCCTAGTTGTGAACCAGGAGCCAACTACTCTCGGGGCTGTACAAATATAGAACACAAAGAGGGTCCCTGCCCTGAGGGATTTGCAGTGGTTGTTTACCAAGGAAATACTGTTTGAATGTAACCAGAGAAATCTATCTATGGTACTGCAGCTGGGATTTGGGGGGGAGATTGGGACTGGATGGGAGAGAAACTGGGACTGGCTGGGCAAGGAGACTGGGGACCATAGGATGGAGGGGAGACTGGGACTGGGAGCTGGAGTGGGGAGGAGAGAGGAGGCTGGGACTGGAATGGAAAGGAGATTGAGACAGAGCGGGGGAGGGAGAGGCATCTGGAATTAGTTGGGTGGGGAGGCTGGGACTGGTAGTTGTGGGGAGGGGAGGCTGGAACAGCTTGGGGAAGGAGACTGGGACTGCAGGCTGGGAGAGACTGGGTCTGGGAACCAGTGATAGAAATGTGGGAGAGAAGGAAAGACAATCCAGTGGTTAAGGTACTTGACTAGGACTTGGGAGAGCCATGTTCAATTCCCTGCTGCTTCACAGGCTTCCTGCATGACCTTTGGCACGTCACTTAGCCTCTCAATGCCTCAGTTCCCCATCTGTAAAATGGGGATGAGAACACTGTTCTGCCTCATGGGGGTGTTGTGAGGATAACAATTCTTGCATGCTCAGGTACTGCAGTGATAGGGGACATTTGAGGGGTGTGTGGGGAGGAGGAGATACAGGGACTTGGATAGCTAGCCCAGAGGGAGAGATTGGGACTGGGTAGACAAGGAGAATGAGTCTGGGGCAAGGAGCCAGGGATGGGGCAGGTGGGAGGAACAGGGCAGAAGGGGTCAGGTTTGTGGGGAACGGACAGAAGAGTCTGAGCCACTAGAGCACATGCCCTTCCAGAGCCTGGACTGGAACCCAGATTCCTGAGTCTCCCCATTCCTCTGCTGTCAGCAATACCTGTGAAACCCACCGGCAAAGTGTGCATCTCGTCCCTCTGTGAGCCTGGTCCACACAGCGCATGACAACCTACTACGCCCTTAGCTCACATGGCAGAGCTCTGTGCGATGGATCTAAAGGTTCCAACCCTGCGGAGGGCTGGTGGGTGTCAATATGACGCCACATGATGACATTTCTGTTTTTTTCAGTTTGCATTTTAAAAAACCTAGGACATTAACACAAAACCTGTTTCAAACAGAACATTATTCAGGCAGATTGTAAGCAGTTCAGCATGACTTATTTACCACACACTATTCAAATCCTGCTCTTATTAATTTCCTTGTGGGATTTTCTATGGTGCTCATCACTGTAGTATCCAGTGCTTCATAAACATTAATTAATTTATCTTCACAACACCTCTGGGAGGTGTGGGAGTGGTGATATCCCCATTTTACAGATGGAGGGCTGAGGCACAGAGAGATTCAGATTAAAAGTGTAAATTTGGGTGAGACGATGAGGACTTGATTTTTCAGCATTATACAGCAGTTTATTTGTTCAAGGCACTGCGCCCATTGACTTCAGTTGCAACTGTGAGTGCTCAGCACTTCTGCAAATCAGACTCCAGGGTCTCAAACTGGGCTTCCAGAAAATGAGGAACACACAAGTAGTGACCATCCATGGCCTTGTCCCCTGGCCCATTGGAAGCCAGAGCCGCGCAGTGCTCACAGCCACTATGGGTAAGAGCCACCCAAGTGGTGGGGGACCCAACTCTGGGGCTGACAGAGCCTTCAGGGAGCTGCCTTGGGCAGTATGCCCCAGTGGGCGGGAACAGGCCAGGGACTGCTCTTGGGCACCTCTGCCCCCAGCCCGGGCAGGGCAGCAGCTGCTGCTCTCTCTGCTCTGCCTTCAGAATGAGGCACTCAGAGAATGGCAGTTGCTACAGGTGCCATAGATAGATTGCTCTGGTTACATTCAAACAGTATTTCCTTGGTAAACCCCCTGCCCCCAGCACCACCCCTGGTTCTGTGGAAAATATAGTATGAGATCTTTTGATTAAAGCCTGTGTCTTAATGCATATGCACAAGAGGGCCAAGTTAAGGTTACACAGGCGACCTTAATTCTGGCATCTCCTTACCTTTGACTGCTTGACTTTGCGACTTTAATAATCAGGGGGGTAGCCATGTTAGTCTGTATCCACAAAAACAACGAGGAGTACAGTGGCGCCTTAAAGACTAACAGATTTTTTGGGGCATAAGCTTTCATGGGTAAAAAACCCTTACCCACCAAAGCTTATGCCCAGATAAATCTGTTAGTCTTTAAGGTGCCACCAGACTCCTCATTGTTTTTGTCAACCTTAATGATGTTCTTTTAGTGTAGCTTTTGTGTGTGTAATGTGTACAGATACCTGCTTTCAGTGTTTATGCACCTATTGACTATCTCTTATATATTGTAATTGACTACTAGCATGTTAGGCACTCCACTGATAGAATCATAGCTCTTCAGCTGTGTCATAGGATCTGTATTGCTAACAGAGAGTCTCAGTTAGCATTTAGCTCCAGTGGTAGGGGGACCTGTGTTATTGGAGTAGGAGAATCAGATCTCTGTCCCTATGTCATCAAGTTCAAAGTACTGGTGGCAGCATAGTGACAATTGTGAGATTCCTAAATGGCCATCAGTTTGTTTATAGTATAAGGCCCTGATCCTGCAATGAATGGACAGACCTCTCAACTCCACACGGAGTCCCATTGACTGAAGGGGTTTGTCCATGGGAGATCACTATAAGATCATGGCCTAAACATATCCAGCGTACTGTACTTCTTTGTGCAAATAATGGAAACTACTTACAATGAGCTTGGATATAGTGATGTAAAGTAAAACTCTTAATTGTTTCAGTCCCTTGCAATGTACAAATTAAAATTCCACTTATGCTGAGCCTCTCATAATAGTGATGCTGATCTCTGGAATAAAATGACTTCACTCTGATATCATCCTGCTACGTACCAATGCCACTATTATAATGAGGTCTGTTGCCATGAACAAATAGAGCTACATGAACTTATATGTTATGTTTTTTCTTCCTGCTTTTCTTGCAGGTTATAAATGATTAGCCCTTATGACCAACATGAGCTGGAGTTTTCTCACCCGCCTGCTAGAAGAAATTCACAATCACTCCACTTTTGTGGGGAAGGTCTGGCTCACCGTACTGATCGTCTTCCGTATCGTCCTGACAGCTGTCGGAGGGGAGTCCATATACTCAGATGAACAGAGCAAGTTCACATGTAACACCAAGCAGCCAGGCTGTGACAATGTCTGCTACGATGCCTTTGCACCGCTGTCACATGTCAGGTTCTGGGTCTTCCAGATCATCATGATCTCAACCCCTTCCATCATGTACCTGGGCTATGCCATCCACAGGATCGCTAGGTCCTCCGAGGAGGAGAAGAGGCTTAAGGTACTCAAGAAAAAGAAGAAGCAGTTTGCTTTGAACTGGCAGGCTGTCCGTAACTTGGAAGACCCTTTGGAAGCAGACGAAGAGGAGCCCATGATCTCCGATAACACGGTGGAAAATGAGGAGAAAGCGAAAGCAAACAAGAAGAGCAAGGAGCAGCAGAAGCACGATGGTAGGAGACGCATCCAGCAAGAAGGGCTGATGAAGATTTACGTCTTCCAGCTCCTTGCCAGAGCTTCATTTGAAGTTTGTTTCTTGGTTGGGCAGTATTTTCTCTATGGCTTTGAGGTGGAAGCGTATTTCGTCTGCAACAGAGCCCCTTGCCCTCACACTGTGGACTGCTTTGTGTCAAGGCCAACAGAGAAGACCATCTTCCTCCTGGTGATGTATGTTGTGAGCTGCCTGTGTCTGTTGCTCAACATGTGTGAAATGTTCCACTTGGGGTTTGGGACCATTAGAGATGCCATTCGCAACAGAAAGATTAATAGTTTCAGGCAGCCTCCATACAACTATTCCTACTCGAAGAATATCTCCTGTCCTCCTGAGTATAACCTGGTCGTGAAATCGGAGAAGCCTGCAAAGGTTCCAAATAGCTTGTTGGCCCATGAGCAGAACTTGGCTAATGTTGCTCAAGAACAACAGTGCACAAGCCCAGACGAGAACATCCCACCAGATCTGTCCACCCTTCATAAACACTTGAGGGTGGCCCAGGAGCAGTTAGACATAGCATTCCAGAGCTACAATGCTACTCAGGCCAACATGCAGCCTTCCAGAACCAGTAGCCCACCTTCAGGTGGGACTGTGGTAGAACAGAACAGGGTCAATACTGCCCATGAGAAACAAGGTGCTAAGCCCAAAGCCAGTTCAGAAAAAGGCAGTTCTAGCAGCAAAGATGGAAAGACTTCTGTATGGATATAATTAGGTGCTTGACCGTAGCTCACAGACAGGGCAACGTAAGTAGGGGCATGGTTTTTTCCAGCATTGTCTAGAATTCAATTCACAGAGCACAGGCACAATTTGTATGTGGGAGTCAACATAGATGAAGGATGAGTTGTTTCAAACATTACATTTGAATAATGTCTTCTGGTGTGTTAACAAAAACATTCCCTTTCTTGCCTAGTCCATATTCTCTCTGGGAACCTCCATCGAGCTACACTGTATGGTGCCGCCCTCCCCGCCTCCCCGTCCCCGGCACTGCTTAGGGGCAGGAGTAACAGCCTTTCTTCTTATGTCACTCGCTAGCTGTTTGCCCAGGATGATCCACTGCCAGCTCTCTGCGACAGAGACTGGACTGACAAGCGAGCTGGCTGGTGGGAAGGGGACTCTGCTGATCATTCAGAAGAATCGTCTTGACTACCCTGAGCTGCTCCTGTCCTGCATCATGAGGCTATAGTACTGTACTTGTGTTGAGAACTGTTTAATTACTAAATGTCCTTCCTCCAATTAATTTGAATTCCTCTGTTAAAGGGGAAAATGGTGAGATGTTACATAAATGGCCACGATCCACTGGCCTGGCTCGTTTCCTGCCTGGATTCTTACATGCACTAACAAGCAGTCATTGGAGATGAACTCAACAGAGGTTGCAGCCAGGAGCTCTAACCATGCATTAACAGAACATGAAGACAGTCAGAAGCACAGTAGCCATATTTTAAAGAATGTACACCACCCTGAGTGATTAGCGTTGAGGTAAATGTTGTATCCTTTCTTTCCCCCAATCAGTGTTGAACTGCAAAGCAACCGGGATCAATTGCTACATAGCATTTGCAGTAAATTTGCATTGTAATGATGCTACAGTGTAGCATTCGTTCCAGAGCTGGTGGGAATTGCAGCAGTTAGACGTTTTTTAACACTGCTACTGCACATCTTAAGCAAAAGTGCCTTTAAGCAACCAGTAAAATGAAATTCAAAGTTTCTAATGTCTGTGTTAACTCTTGGTAGAGATCAGAAGACCAGTGCTGACAACTTTTGTTATCAAGTACTTTTGTTTTAATCAAAAGCTTAGAAATAGTTGCAGACAAATAGATCAATGCATAGTGTGTACGGCGTGTGTGTGGAGATGTATATTTAAGTATATATACACACACATACAAATATTGTGTGAGCTACAGATATATATAATGTAATATCAACCACACGATGATTTTTACAACTTCCCACCCCCACCAAAAAACCCACCAACTCAGAATGGTGGCTGATCTTCCTCTCTTGGAAGTCAAATCGCCAGCCCTTGGGCCAGATCCTCAGCTGGTGTCACTTGGTTCAGCTTCATTTACTTCATCTGACCCAAGCTGAGAATCTGCCCGCTTGACTTTAATGGGGACAGGAGAGGGACCATTCACAAAAAGGCAGTTTAAGGACCAAATCCCCTTGCCTTGCTCACAAGACTAGTTCCACTGGACTTGTCTACACCAGGTTATTTTGGCTAAAGTTTACCACTGGAGATACCCACAATGCAATGCTAATGCAGACCAAGTCTATGCAACATGGTGCTTAACAATGCCAGTGGCCGCTGGCACCTTGTCTGCTCTAGTTCTGCGGGAGAAAGTGAACCGATGGTGGGAGAAGTGGGGAAATCTTAAGAAAAGAAGCCCGGGCTAGACATCACCATTGACTTCCATGAGGCTATTCATGTCAGTGAGGCAAGCCGGGCTAGGACCCTAAACACAGTGTGGCTCCAACCAGAAGGGTTTCTCTTTTTCAAACACTCTGTGTAAGAAATACGTTGGCAATGTGTTTTTTTCATCATGTATCTGACTTGTACAAAACTGAGTGCGTCTGTGGCTTTGTTGGGAATGAACTCTGGTAACAAGGAGCAGAAATGTAATCCTGACCCCTGGGAACATGGCTGAGTGATTTATCGGCCTAGGTGTCACTGGACCAGCTAAAGTAAAAAAGTAAATGAATAACTGCCCCATTTTCTGCTCTGTTGCTCTCGCGGAGAGCCTGTTCCTGCCAGGTGCCTAGATGTCCTCAATTCCTACTGTGACTTTGCAGGGTGCATTCAAGAGCTTCCAGGATTAGACCCATAAATCTCAGTCCATAATAAACCTCTAAAGACTCTGAATGAGCAGAGCACTTAAGAATGTGCTTAACTTTAAGCAAGTAAGTAGCCCTATGGGCCAACTCGTGCTGAAGTGCTGTATTCAGGCAGGACCTAATAATGCACTTTCCAAAGCCCTACAACATCATCAGTGATCGTGACTGAGCAAATGATTGCTTGAAAAGGAATACAATGAGCAGCTCGTGAGAGCTTCTGGCAAAAATATTTAATATATTTTGCTTAGCCATCTATGACGTAATTTAGAGTTTGATCCTGTTCCCATTGGAGGACATCTCCTGGAAGCAGAATCTACTCTGTACGATTTTTGAAAATGAATGAGTGACTCGAAGGGACTGATCACAAACCATCAGTTCTGTTTAAAGCAGGGGTGGGCAAACTTTTTGGCCTGAGGTCCACACTGGGTTTCCAAAATTGTATGGCGGGCCGGTTAGGGGAGGCTGTGTCTCCCCAAATAGCCAGGTGTGGCCCGGCCCCCGCCTCCTATCTGACCCCCTGCGTCTCACCCCCTGACGGCTCCCCGGGGACTCCTGCCCCATCCAACCCCCCCTGTTCCCTGCCCGCTGATGACCCCCCTGGAACTCCTGCCCCATCTACCACCCCCTGCTCCCTGTCCCCTGGACCCGCCACCCCATCCAACCCCCCCCCCATTCCTGACTGCCCCTCTGGGACCCCTGCCCCATCCAACCCCCCTGTTCCCCACCCTCTGACTCCCCTGACCCCTATCCAACCGCCACCCCTGACCACACCCCCAAACTCCCCTGCCCTCTATCCAACCCCCCCGCCCCCTTACCATGCTGCCTGGAGCACCGGTGGCTGGCGGTGCTGCAGCCGTGCCGCCCAGAGTACCGGGTCAGTCTGTGGCTCTGCAACTGCGCTGCCCAGCTCCCCAGAGCGTGGCATGGCGTGCTGAGGGGGAGGGGGAACAGCAGGGGAGGGGCCAGAGGCTAGCCTCCCGGGTCAGGAGCTCAGGGGCCAGGCAGGAGGGTCCCACAAGCCAGATGTGGCTCATGGGCCGTAGTTTGCCCACCTCTGGTTTAAAGGAATGCAGCTTTATTCTTAAAGGGCACGTGTAGTGGATTTCCTCAACAGGATAGGTCAGGATTACTCCATGTGTCTGTCTTAGGGAAGAACTCACTTTAGCTGTGAGTTTTGCACAAAAGGCTCCTAATATTTACAACATGGTGAGGGTGGAAGAAACATATCTGTCTGCTCCTCATGGCTGAGCCCTTTCTCTTTACTCCATGGAACGACTTTGCATTTTGCATAGAGTTAAATTATTCCTGTTAAACTTGGGCCATACCTAAAATCTAAGAGGGGTTGTTTGATAATGGTGGGTTCCATTAAAAATTCAGTGTGCTGCCGATCCCTTGACTCTGGTGCATATTCTGAAGAGGAGAGATGCCGTGGTGAAGTCAGGCCCACAGCTGGCTATTGGTTTACGTATTATGCTGCCCAGGGTGGACGTTTATATTTCACATCTATGTGAATCTCCCTGGTTTAGCTTTGACCCTGTGCCCCCCATGATGACTCTGATGGAAGCTCTGAGTAGACTGAGGGTCGGATGCTGCATGTTTTTTTCCTTAGAGATGACTCACAGTGCAGCAGGCCCATTGAAACGTGTCCCCCTGGAGCAGAGCAGTGACTCTCCGCTGCAAGGGGGAGTTTGGATTGTTGCTGTTATAACCAGGATAAACACACAACAGCCTCCATCCCTCAGCATTTCCTGTGTAACTCCTGATGGATTGTAATTGACCCCAGGTTTCCATTGGCCTCATCAGCTAGTCATTAATCTTCAGGGAGTGCTCTGTGTGCCTCGGTTGCTGTTGTTTAATTCAATCCTGCTTTGATTGCTGTTGCTGCACCAAGAATAGCCAGCTGGAGAAACAGAGCCAGCCCCTTGGCTCTGACTTTATTTGTAAGTGTGGCTAATGCTGAGCATTTGCCCAGGAGGCAGAGAAACAAGCTTTAAATCAGACATCTCAGAGTCCATCACATGAGCTCGGTCTAATAAATGTATAATCGGCCCTTATTGTTTATTATATTAGGAAGGGATGCACAACCTCTTTGGGTCTGTGAGGGCCATTGCAGCCACCATCCCTGGGGCTAAGGACTGTCAGCGATTGCAGGATTTTGCTGTTAATACTCTCTCGTTGGTTCTAGTATAACCTCCTTTCTGAGTGGTCTATAGTTATAATCTCTTATCACCCACGCCTAATGCTGTACAAAGAGATAACTAACCCGCAACACACCTATTATTAACCCCACTTTATCCAGCATGGTTAAGACACTTACCCAAGGCATCCAGCGGGTCAGTGTCAGAGAGAGGATTAGACTGCAGCAGTTCAAGCCCCATGTTCAACCTCTTGACTCCAGTTCACTGTTTTAGGCAGCCCAATATGTGGCATACAGGTTTTCCATGTAGAAACATTTTCTGTTCCAAGATGATTGTGTCGGGCGTTTGGTTTGGTTTCCTGGTGTCACTTGCTGTGGTGAAAAGCAGATGACTTGAGAGCCATGAATGAGGACTTGCTTGTGATGCCTTGTTAAAAAGGGAGTGAGTTAAAGATGGGATTTCAGAAGCCTCTCTGAATTTCCTGACCCTTCTAGGTAGCCTATGCCAGGTTCTTAGTGTTACCATGGGTGATTAATGATCTGTATTTCTGCTGGAGGGACACCAAATTAACACCCAAACTGTAGGGAAGTTGGGCACTCGGTACCTATTGAATGTCTCATTGTGTGATTCTCCTTACCCCACATTCTACAACGTGAGCTTAACGGGTCAGATGATGGTTGCGAGCATGTCAGGGTTGTACACAATAGTCCAAATTCTGTCCTGATTAATTTGCTACCCCAGTCAAGTGAACCCATACGATCAGCAAAATTGCATGGGACATAAGATGGGGCAGAACGTAACCCAATGTTTTCCATATACCCCAATGCATCTGCATTGCAGTGTTGAACAGCATGCCTGCATGGCTAGGCAGTGGCAATGTGATAATAGTAGACTGCAGAATCCTGGCCCCATTCAAGTCAATAGGAGTCTTGCCAGTGACTTCAACGGCGGAGCATTTCACCCATAAAAGTTAGAGTCGGGAAAGAGCTATGAAGTCACATCTGGTCCAGCCCCACAGGGGCCAGTACTAGCTCATTTCTTGCAGCATATTGTCCAGGGCTCTGTCCAGTCTCATGTTAACTTATCAAAGACCCGGGCATGGGGCTTCCACCACTTCCCTTGAGAGAATATGTCACTGTCTTAGAGCATTCGTGATTAGGAGATTTTTTTTTCCTGCTATTCAGCCTGTAAGGCAGGCGTGACCGAGTGGTTGGTGATAAAACTGAATCAAGAGACCTGTGTTCTGTTCCCCACCATGGTACTGATAATCTCTGTGACCTTGGTTGAGTCACTTACCCTCTGTTTCCTTATCTGTAACATGGGGCTGATAACGTTTACCCCCCTTGGTAAAGCACCTTGAGACCTGCAGGTGAGAAGACCCGCTCTGTGTTGCACCTCTGCAGAGCTTCTCTACCCTCCAGCAGCCTTTGGGATGACCCGTGACCCAAAAATCTCTGTGGCACTCAGTGCTATGGAGGATTCCCTTTCAACTCTCAACCAGCACAGCAAGAGTCCCACACTGGGTAGCCTAGGCACACTTATAGCTGCTCTTACACTAGGGGAATTCTTCCCCAGCCCCTTTGACTCAATTACAGCCCTTATTTGCCATGGGAGCAGCATGCAGGATCCAAAGCAAGGGACAGAATTGACCCGGAGAAATGTACATTAGTATTATTATGTTATGTTGCTGAATGCCCTCCCATTACTCCTTTCAGATCCCTCGGGGCCGTCCCAAGCAGTTCTCCCTCTTTTGTTGGTTATACCCTCTAAGGCCTTCAGAGGTCATCATTGCACCAGGCTATCGGGATTTAATACTGCCTCGTAAATGAATCTGTGCCGCTCTCAAAAAAGAAATCCCATTTTTTTATGGGAAGGAGAAATATTAGGAGGCACAATAAACATAACCATCTTAAGCAATATGGCAAAAAGTCGGGTCCCAGATTAGGTAAAAATCCATCAGGAGCTAACCGTCTGACTGCTCATACAATTGTAACTAATTCACATGCAGCATCCTTCCTGAAAGAGATCACTATATGGTATGTGTTTAATGCTTCGCTTCTTTTACAGGTTAGTCATTTCATTTACAGAGCAGATGGGTTGAGTTGTGTAGTTTGTTTAATCCTAAATGCTGAATATATTCACTAAACCATGTCAGATAAAGTGCTCATCTTTTTTATTCAGGGCCTGGAATGTCCCAGGTAGAAGCCAAATTACCTTGTTGCTTGCATTCCATTCCACTGGAAAATACTTGAACTTAACTAAAGGCCATAACAAATCTGTGCGGTCACAGAGTTTCTGGGGGGGTTTGTATTAACTGTATTTGTATTTGAAACTTTTTGTGTATGAAATTGAACCTGTAAATATTTTTCAGTGTAAATGTTACATCTGGAATGTAGTTAGAATGTTACACATATTTGTCAACAAAACAAACCCCAGCTCTTTGGATATTCAATTTCCAATACTAATAAAATGGAATAAACCATATATTGTTTACAGTATGCAAAGTGTGTGGTATATTTATATGGCAAGGATCACTTGGAAGATGTTGGTGGGGAGACATGGCGGAGACTTTTAAATCTAATTTGGTAGCCAATTCAACCATATATTTTCATGGCTGTAAATACATAAGAACACACACGGGTCCAGAACAATAGTCCATCCAACCCAGTATCCTTCTGACAGTGGCCAGTGCCAGGTATTTCAAAGGGAATGAACAGAACAGAGCGATTGCGAGTGATCCATCCCCTGTGATCCCCAGCTTCTGGCATTTGGAGGTTGTGACCCTGGCTGTCTTGACTCATAGCCATTGATGGACCTATCCTCCATGAACTTATCTCATTCTTTTTTGAACCTAGTTATACTTTTGGTCATCACAACATCCCAATGGCAACGAGTTTTCACAGGTTGACTGTGTGTTGTGTGAAGAACTTTTTTTTTTTAATCTGCTGCCCGTTAATTTCATCATTTGACTTCTAGTTTGTGTGTTAAGTGAAGGGGTAAATAACACTTCCCTCTTTACTTTCTCCTCCCCCCCCCCTTCGTGATTGTATTGACCTCTAGCACACCCCCCTCAGTCGTCTCTCTTCTAAACTGAGCAGGCCCACTCTTTTTTACTCTCTCCTCATCTGGAAGCTGTCCCGTACCCCAATCATTTCTGTTGCCCTTTTCTGTACCTTTTCCAATTCCAACAGATCTTTTTCTGAGACAGGGCAACTAGAACTGCATGCAGTATTGAAGGTGTGGGCTTACTGTGGATTTATACAGAGGGATTAGGAGATATTTTGTTTTATTATCTATCCCTTTCCTAATAGTTCCTAACGTTAGCTTTTTTGTCTGCCCCACCTCACGCTGATCGGATGTTTTCAGAGAACTGTTCACGATGACACCAAGCTCACTTTTTGAGTGGTAACAGGTAATTTAGACCCCGTCATTTTGTATTTATTGTTGGGATTATTATTTTCCAACTGTGCATTACCTGCAAAGTACTTTTGCCTTACTGTGACCTTCTGGTTATCTGGATTCTGCTCTCTCTCTCTCTCTTTGTGCGAAGAGGCATTTCCTACAACTCCTTTAGGCATTGAGCTGAAGTAATGTGGAATGTGCCTAAATTTTCTAAAGTGACTAGTGATTTTGGGGACCTAACTTGGGACATATTAAAGGGGCCTGGTTTAGAAATTGGACCCATTCAAGGTGGCTCAAGTTCAGCAACCAAAAACTGATGCATACAAATCACTTTTGAAAAGTTAAGCCACTGGATGGATCTTCTGTGTAGCCAGAAATACAATTTTTTGCAGGTTATAGAAAAGGAATAGAGGAGTACATTAAGCCAAATGTTGATTTAGCATAAAGGTGACCAGTAAAGAGGGAGAAAAGCTTAAGTTAACAACTTCCCCCCTTCCTTCATATAAATGTTTCTGCTTATGTTTTATATTAGAAATTCAGATCTTGTCCTTCCTGTTTTTCCTCAGCTGGCCAACTAGGAGGAGATAGGACTTCGGAGGTACTGAGTGAGCAGAATCTAGCGACATTACAGGGAAATTTATATTTATTCAGGCTGCTTAAAACTCTTAGTTATTTGTGACCCTCTGGTTGAACTCAAATCCATGGAAAACACTTGGGAGGAATATTGTCTTTGTTAAACATTTACTACCTTTGCCCTTCCCATTAAAATGATGATCACCCGCAAACTGTATCCTGGAAACCTCCAATGATTCCTCACAAACTTTGATCAGTTCTATAGCTGACTGGAAAATTTTGATGAAAAACATGGTGGAAAAATCCACTATTTTCTCCATTTTTTGACCAGCTGTAGTGTTACTTTCTCACTCTTCCAACCCGAACAACAAAATAAGCCCATCAGGTAAACCTTCCTAGAACCAGGAAAGAATATTTTATGAAGTTCACTGTGCACATCAGCATTTACTCATTCAACGCTGATTTACAACAGTGATGGGTGGTACAGGAAAACCTAAGAGATAAAAAGTCCAGTGGTCAACTAAGGTCACCAGCAGGGCATCAAGTTACAAGTGATACATTATCAGAACCAACCTTCAGTGGCTGCATATCCTTGATGCTGTCATTAGCTATAGCCTTTACAAATTAATCCTTTAGGGAGTGTCCTGTATGCCACATTAAGGGCTATAATCCCACACTGATGCTCATTTGGGATCTTTGTCTCACATCTGGGCAGTGGCAAGTTACCAGAGGTGAAACAAAGTTACACTGTGTTGCTCTTCACAGAAATGACATCACAGTGGAGGGGAACTAATGCGTGATGAGTAACACTAAATCTCTTCTTCCCAAGATTATGGCAGGCTAAAACTACAATGAAGATATTTGCTAAGGACCAGATCTTCTGTTGGGGGTAAAGCAGCACTGATCTCCTGAAGTCAATGGATCAATGTTGATCTATGCCAAGAATCTGGTCCTTGAATTACTTCCATTTACAAATCTTTTCTAGGTACAAAACTCTCCCTCCCAATGGGAATAGCTCCCATTGCTCCTTCCCTTGGCTATGGTCACTTTAGGAGCTGTTTGCAGCTAATGACCGGCTTGTGTGCTCTTTCAAAAATCATTATTGTAACTTTCTGGGGCGACATGTAGGTACTTGTTGCATTTTGCTCGGTCTACTGCAGTCTACAGTGCAAACAGACCCGAACCAAAATAAACTTTGCCCGTGTCATGGTTCAGATTAGGGCTAAAGAGGAAATCACTGCTGTTGACAGCAATGCAGCCAAAGTACCGTGCCTGGGAGAGAGTCAACAGGTGACCTGACTCTGATCCCCAGCACTCCAGAGCATTTCTGCCAGCCTGAGCACAGATAGGGAACCTTCTCACACAGGCACTATTCCCCAGTTAGAGAGACATTGCTTTCCAGGCTGCTTTATGCTGCTGCAAATTCCCATCATTCAGTCACTGCACTGTCCTCCAGCTAATTAAGAAGTGGGTAGCTCTGTTAAGGCAGAGTTATCCTTGATTTACACCAGTGTAACTAAGCAGAATTTGCCTAAAACATAGATGGTGGGCCTCTTCCACACTCTTGTAGACCCCCTTCTTCTCCAGTCTAAACTAGCAGCCACATGTTTGAGGTGGCAAATCCTGAGACGAATTTACTAACAGAACAAACACATCTGGAGATTACCCTACTGCCTGCGGAAAACTTGGAGGGTGGTTTGCCAAGAGCCCAGTATTGAGATGCCCCTTTAGTAGGACCAAACCTGGAGGCTGAACCCCTGGTGGTTGAAGCTACAGGCGGTTGTACTGGCATTACAAGCCTGGAAGCCATTATATCCCGAATACAGAATTGTGAAAGGTTGGCTGCCATCAAAGCAATATAATCCCTAGTAGGACAGGCAGCCTGCAGCATTTATAGTATTTGCTTTGGTTTGGAGTTATAAAAAGTGGAGTATTTCCACCATTTTTTAATTTTTAAATGGTAACTAACTGTTCAAATTCACCCCAATGCATTTGCCTTGACTTCAGTGAATTACACGAGAGATGGATTTGGCCAGTTGTCTTTTATTAAAGAGATGCGTATAAAGTGACAGACGACGGGAAGACATGGCTTAGCCAGTATGATTCCAACAACTGGTACATTTCATTTTCACACACACACTAAGCACAGGACAATGACAGCGGTCTTTTAAACAAATAATATTGTTAACTTGGTGAACACTACCAGACACTATAGCTACATAGGGACAGTCAGGCATTTCTGTCAATCAGGCATGTGTTCTGTACATGTTGCATTAAACCAGTGAATTCAAAGGCAGCAAAAGAGAAAGGATTGGAAATAGTTTCAATGGGTTTGTTTCATACATGGAAGGAAGTGACCCCCTTTAAGGCTATATAATGCCGTGCTTATTGCTTGAAGCATAAAGGATCAGGCCTAAACTCTACATTGATGGCAAAACCTGGCCTAGTGTAGTATATTATTATCAGATGGCGTACTTGCAGAGTCAGGTATTACTTTGCGTGAGTAAGGGTGGCAGTATCTAGCCCAAGAAACATCAGTGTTCAGCAGAACAGCTCCCTAGCAAAGCATGATTCTCTCTGAGCTCAGAGCTGGCTGAGACCCAAGAGAAAAAAAAAGGTGAATCCATTTTTTTTTTAAGTCCCCAAGAACTGGAAGGCTGAGGCACGTGCTGCAGGATGAAAAATGAGAGCTGATGGCAAGATGAAGTGAGCTGTAGCTCACGAAAGCTCATGCTCAAATAAATTGGTTAGTCTCTAAGGTGCCACAAGTACTCCTTTTCTTTTTACTGACAGGAAAGTGCCCCAGCAGGGAAGGACTGCGCTCTCCTGTCACTCCTAGCCAAGAAGGAGGAACGATCAAAGTGGTAACAGACGATAAGGGTCGGTGCAGCAAGTAGGTTTTGCATTTGAGTAAATCAAATGCCATCAGCTTACTTGGCTGAAAATCCTAGCCCGTTGCTTACCATAATTCCCCCATTAGCTCTCTAGTGTTCTGGAGAGGTGATGGAAAAGAGAGATGGCTGGGAAAAATCTGTGGGCTTGATTCACCACTGCATTACGCCATTAAAACCAAGTGGAGCAATGCAGGGTTGAATTAGGGTTTATGCACATGGACAGGAGAGAGAGAATACTGAAAGGCAGATTCTCACCTACACTAATCCAATTTCTGCCAGATTAATCCCACTGAAATCGCTGGAGTAACCCCAGCAATAAAGTTTTTTGGCACTTGTGTCTCAAGATTAGATCAGTTTTTGCTTTAACCAACTCACTTTTAGAGGACAGTTTTGCGAGGGAGTGGGTGCTCTTAGTCCCCAGTGATCTCAGTCAGAGTTGAGGGCACTCAGTACCTAACAGGATTGAGCCTTTAGGGCAGAAGTGGGCAAACTTTTCGGCCCGAGGGCCACATCGGGGAATAGAAATTGTATGGCTGGCCATGAATGCTCACAAAATTGGAGGCTCCAGCTGGGGGTGCTGGCTCCGGAGTGGGGCTGGAGATGAGAGGTTTGGGGTGCAGGAATGTGCT